ATTATTTATTTCGGATTGATCCAATATCGTCAATGAAAACGGGAAAATCTTTGTAGATATTGTTTTTGCCAATTTTTCATTTGACAATATTCATCCAATTTATTGAGTAATTGAATTAGTAATTAAAAATTCAATCTCGATTCAAGTATACAAAGATTTGATTATTCAAGCGGTTTTTTTTTTTATCAATTTTAGGTATTTACAAAAATTTTTTTTTTACCAAATAAGTACTTTTATCTGAAACAGAATTTATCAGCTAATTCGGCTTTTTAAATTTATTAACTTTTTTATTGGTTAAAAAAAAAAAAAAGTAGAGCCGAGAAACTTTTCGAATAGAGTGATACTTAAAGTAATCTCACAAAAGTGACAATTTTTACGAATAATATATGTCCAATTAGTAATATATTACACAAACTTCGGCTTATAACATATATAACCCGAAATGGAAATATAAGCAACATAAGCCCCGGTTTGAAAATAATACAATAGGTGATATATAAAGAGCCGGCTGTTGACTATTCTTAAGAAATGAAATTCTTAATAGAATGGAATTTTTTCCCAAAATGCAAACCTCTTTCCGAATTCTAATTCTGCATACGTATCTGTATTTGAAAAATTATTAATTGTCACAAACAATTCCAAGATACGTATCTTCTTAGTTGCACTGAATAAAAGATGTTTACATAATACTGTGATACGAATATCATTTTGAAAAAAAATGGATTATTAATCGATAAAAAGTCACATGGTACACATCTCTCTGAAAAACTATTACAAGGACCGTCAAAATTTTTAAGACTCTAAGTTGACCAATTGGAATGCAGAAATAAGGGAATCATATTTTAAAGTTCTAATACGTAATTAAATGCATCGGAAATTTATCTAAAAATAAGTACCAAGTACAAATTCATTTGAGTTAAAGTTAATATAAAACCAAAAAGCACATGATTCTACTTAATGCGGCCATCAATATTATTCGTTTTTATTACAAAGGAAACGAGTGACATGTAAAAACTCAAAAGCTTAATTTTAAACATAATTGATCTTATTTTTTTCTTAATTTATATTCTTTTTTTCTTAATTTATATGTTTTTTTTTTTTAATTATAACTTAAAAATCACCGATGTGACAATTAAATTGTTTTTAACAAAGACGTTATTGCTAATCTCGAGTTTATTTTATATCTATCCTAATCGATTCGAATTAATACTAAATACATTGATTTATTTTTACATAAAAAGAAAAAAAAGTATATAAAAAGTTTCTTATATAAATTTAGATTCATATACTGTATATGTATAATATTTATATGTGTAATATTTATATCTGTATAAAAAAATCACAAGTAGATATTAAAGATTTTGTTGGTTTTTTTTTTTTTTTTTTTTTTTTTTTTAAGATTTTTTTAAGATTTTTAAGATTTTTAAGATTTCTAAGACTAGTTAATTCATTTAACTTCATTTAACTAATATAGATTTTCCCATTCGAGAGGAATATTATCAAATAAAAAATTTTCGTATGTCCAATTCTGATCAATTTCAGGTTGTTGTTGAATTTCCGGGCAATGAGTGTATTCGAATATTGCCATAGGGTCGGAATACTCAGAAAAAGTCAAATCGGTGTTTAAATTATCATACATGAATTCTTGGCAAAGATTATTATCTTGCCATAAAGTAGGATCAGAAATTTCCGATGACATAGTAAAACCAAGAGGATTTGATAATTGAGCGAAGTTCATAGATGAATGATCAAAAAAGTCGATATCAGTCTCATCAGGAGTAAGTGGTCCAGAATGATTCATAAAACTATAAAATAATGAATCTTGAGATAATTCTGGAGTAGAAAATTGAGTATCGGTAAGAGGCGGAGAAGGAATCATTGATAATTGAACATTATTTTCGGATTGAACATTATTTTCTGATTGAACATTATTTTCGGATTGATCAGAATTCAACTTTGAATTTTTATAGAGTTTTCGTACATCTTTCGCAATTTCTTTATATTTATTTTTTACATCTTCTGGCTCACGTTTCCAAGCAATTGAAACCCAAGGAGAAACATCGGTCATTTTAAATCTAAGATTTCTCTTGGTTAATTCCTTAGTATATACTTTACGATAAATAAAAAAAGCGTTCGGAGGTTTTGAAGGAAGTTTGCGAGTTTTACAATTCATAAAATCTACAGGAGCTATTTGTGGTGGGAATGGCAAGATCAAATTGGGAGGAGAGCTAATAAGTTTCCGCTTTTGCTGATCGAAAGATGGCAAAAAGGACGAATTGCCAATAGTAGTGGATTGAGGTGTAACTGTATTCATTTGCATTTCGAGAATTTTCTTTGAAATAAAAAGATGGCCTAATTTATTCCACAGTGGCTTGACATTGCGAGTTGGAGGACTATTTATCGAAAAAAAATTCAATATTTGTTATTCAGTGTGGCTCGTGGAATTCGGCCGATGATAAAAAAACAAATTTATCCAAATATCTTGTGGCTTCTGAAATCCTTGTTTTAAAAAAAAATTTGTCAATAAAAATAAGATCTACATCATAATCTACATAAAAAGTAAATGTGTATATAGTACAAAAAACAAATTTCGATTGGACTATCGATATCATATGTGGGAGTGATCTATTAAAACAGCCCATTTTCAAAAAAATTTTTTATTTGATTTTTGAATAGATATATATTCAATAAAAAAGTTTGTTTTAAGTTACCAAAACTAATTATATAATAAAAAGTTTCACAAAATAAATTTTAAGTTAAAAATTTTATATGTATTACTAATTATTTAAAATCGATTTACTCAAAATTGTTTATGGACTGTTCTAATAGATCACACCCCATATAGTTATCACATGAATCTTCGTAATTAATGCAAAGCCAATGTATCGAATATTAAATCTAAATTTAAGTGATTGATATTTGATCTCTTTATACCGTATATTAGTATAAAGTAATGTTAACTAATAAATTTAATAACTTGAAACTACGCATAATTTAGCAGAATTAAATTTTCTGAAGATCGATTGGCCTGTATTAAATTAACGCAAGCCCAACTCGGAATTTTAATTCCATATGTACGATAATACATAAGTTATATTCTTGATATTTTATATATTAAAAGTGTTAAAATTGTAACTTTTTGTGTTATCAATTTATGTACGCCAGTGGTCTCACTACATAACATAATCATTGTAACGCGGTCATTTTTTGTGTTCATTATTTTAGTTTCCTTATAAAGTATTACGATCGCCAATCACGAACAATTTAAACGTCATACGTATAATTTTTTAAAAAAACAATGAATGTCGTGGGAATAAATCCTGCTCTCGGCAGACTGACAATAAAAGTTTACTAAGGTGCGACAAGTCGTGAAACATAATGTTTACAATTAGACTTTAAAAAAAAATCACAATTTAACGTTGGATTTATTACAATGGGTCTAATCTATTGCTAAAAATATAACATCTAAGATGGGAAATGCCGATATTTATACGTATAATTGGTGAAACTCTAGCACTAGTGATTGGCTACGAAAATGCGTAAAGACAATATACCGATACGCATATAGACAAAATTTTTTGGAAATCTAGAACTTCTTGGTTTGCATCAATTAGAGATATGATGTGTCTTACTCAAATATAATTAGTACAAGAGGGATGTATCCACTAAATATCTGGCTAGATAATACAGTATCTTTACTAATTTAATCTTACAAGTTTTTTTCATTAATGCTGAGTTGATAATACTAATATTATTAAACACCTTGTTTTACTCCTATTATTAAACTTCGAACTTAAATTAATAAATTCTTAATATAGAATGGTATCAAAAATCTTATCAGTTCGTATACGTGGATGCATCCTAATTGGGTTATGAAATACAGAAGTACGGAAAGGTTGGTTTTTAGAAATCTAATATTAGAATGTTCTAAGGAAAATTTCGTCATTGTAGTTACCTAAATTATATTTTTTTCTATTGGACGCCACACCGCCACACCTTTTCACACTTTGACATATCTGACCAATCAATTTCTCAAATTAGACTCGTTCCTGATACTTTTCAAAATCATGTGTTACACGATTATTTAGCCATTTGTACTCTTGTACGTATTATAAAATTAAACTCGTGATTGAAAACTTAAATAAATCTTTTAATCAAGCCAAGCTTTTGAATTGTTTTCGAGCAATTCTCACCTAAAGTTTTTATAAGAGTGAAGGCAGGAACTTAAAGTAGCTTATAATACCGTAATTTCAGCAAATAGTATCTCCTCGTTAAAATATCTCCCATCGTTGATTTGAATACTAAATTTCGGGTACTAACTAATTTTTAAGTCTTAAGAACGTAAGAGACCCGATGCACTATTTTACCGAAAATTATTATAATATGATTAATTTTTAATTCATGTTTCCCTGTAAAATTACATGTCTCAATACTTTAGATAGCGTGATTTTCTAAAATATAAAGTGTCTTTTTATTACAAATTAATTTATTATAATATATGTCATGTAAAAAAATAAATTTACTAATTATATTACTCATATTACTCATATTTTAGGGAAAACTCTGACGGTTATCACGTGATCACGTGTTACACGCGCATAATAATTAGATAACGACAAAGAAATTTTTGTTAAATAATGTTAAGGATATTATTGACTTTATATCCTAATGCATTAGCAGATCTTTTATTATAGATTTTGAGAAATCGAATGAAATGGATGGGATTTAGGAGGCTTAAAGACTATGAAGATATATAACAAAATTTAATTTTTCTAGTCATTTAATAATCCAATTTGAATAAAGATATATTTTTTTTTGTTCTGTAAAGTTCAGTAAGCTTTATAAAATATATATTTATTTAAATTGATTATTAAATAACTAGAAAAATTAAATTTTGTCATATATTTTCATAGTCTTTAAGCCTCCTTTTGTTAGCAAAGATCACACACATATAATATCAACTTTAATTAGCTTTTGTACATTATAAAGATTAAAGGCGAAATAATTAAATTTCATCATAACAACGATAACAACGTTCAAGTGATATACGGTTCCATTGACATAATAAATGACTATTAATTTGATAAAGAAGAAAAATACTATTCATTAATTTTTTTATATTGAAATGTTCAAAAAAGCATAAGAACATAATTTTGGTCCCCAAGGTTCTTAGTGGAATACAGTATTCTATATGTTAAAGCAGAATTAAATGACATGATCCAAAATGCTTTAGCCAAATCCATCATGCCAACAATATAATAAATAGCAAATTAAATATTTGAGATTTTTGTTATTTATAAGAAAAAATTTCCGTATATTAAAGCAATTGGATAGGTAAATAATGGAAATTCATTTGTATGGTATTTGATTTCCTTTCGTAATTTACTCGAAGGCGTGTAGAAGAATATCGGATTGGTATTATGAATGTTCATGAATCTGTTTGGGGCTATAGTAAACTGCAACAAATTTATATTTCAACTTCACACCATCATTTAATTATTTATTTTAATTATTTATTTAATTTATAAATTTCTTCAAAAAAATATGTTTATCTATAGCGGCTGATATTCGTACCCCCAATTTTGTTATTCATACCCCTCTAGATTTTAAGAATTTGAACGAAGATATCTTGACAAATACCTAACTTATTTTTGATGAGAAATTTTTATTTTGGTTCTATAAATTAGTAAAATTAAAATAAAAAAATTTTTCATCGAATTTGGTTAGGTTGTTGTCGAGGTATCTTCTTTCAAAGGTGTGAAAAAAATTTCATAGTTTGTTACTTTGATAGACGGTTTAAATTTTTTTCAAGAATTTGAGCGAAAATTTCTTAATAATTACCTAACCAAATTTGATAAAATTTTGATTTTAAAAAAACTCGTAGAATTAAAACAATTTTCATTAAAATTGAGGTTTGGAGTTAAGTGGCTGTTGAGATACAGTATCTTTGCTCAAAGTTTTAGAAAAGTTTGGCGTATTTGCTGTTTTTGGTCGATGTTTGAATTTTTTATGACTCTGAGCGAAGTAGGGTTGTGGGCACGGAAAAAATTTTGGGCATGCCTTGCCCAAAGGCATGCCACTCATATCGTGCCCAGGGAATGCCTTCTATATAAATCATGTGATACACCTGGTACATATGAATTAGTGAAATACCTAATTTTGCCATATTCTAACACTAACCTTAACTA